GAGAGAATATATTGGATTATACATCTGGAAATCTTGAATCACCAGATTTCCAGGAAAATAATCGCCCACAAAGTATCCTGAAGTCTATTTCAGTTGCGTGGGAACCCAGCACTGACTGTTTTGCAGAAGCCTTCTGCTCCTCATGCACACGTTTTGTATTGCAAAATCAGACAAAAGCAGTCCCGCGCAAATTAAGCTCTGAGTTCAAGTTCATGCAACCCTCCCCTTCGAGGCTGCCCCCCCGTTTTGCTGCAAGCCGGGAGAAAGCTGTGGGCCCCATCCTGCACGGTGCAGGATCTCGTCGACAGCGTGGTCCGCCCTTTGTGTTTGCGAGGATCTTTTCTCCCCAGGAGGCTAAAGGGGGGCGCGGAAGTAAGAAACTGTAGACGCCTCTGCTAGCCTGAGCTTCAAGTCTGTGGCAGGAAAAAGGCAGGCAAAAATTTCAGCAGGGCCTCGTTTCCCAGAGCGAGCAAGCAGCTGTGGGGGAGACGGTGCGTTTGCCTCTGACGAGGGCAAATACAGACAGACATACTGTACGGGGCTTTAACACCCGTAGTTCCCCAGAGGACTCGCCTTTGCCCAGTATGTATGTGTGGGTAGGTTATTTTAAAACCAAGGGAGAGCCGTAGGTACACAAATATATCAGAGCGACTCCGGTACATCCTCTGTGCTTGTGTTGTCACGTTTGTGTGTCGCTGCCCCCGTTGGGGGCTACACGGCGACATATTGCTGGCATCGTTATAACAGATTCCCTCGAAGAGTGCCCATGGGGTTCCTCCTTCGTGATTTAGTTCTCATGATTGTTTTACCTCAGCGCCATGAGCGCGCCCTCCCACCGCCACTACACATATAGACTGTCTCTCTTTCTCCTCAGGAGAAGGCAGAGCTGGCACAGGCACCCCGGGGAAGGAGGGAGGCAGCACCCCGCGCTCTTTTGCGACCTGGAAATATCAGCTATCGGCCAATTCCTACCCCAGAAGACTCGTCTAAGAAGTGGGAAGGGAAGGGAAGGGATAGCTGCCTTCCCGTTTTCTCTTCTCTTCCCCCCTCCGCACCCACCCCGGGAGCCGTGCCCCAGCCCCCTTATGAAGCATGGGGTGGGAGCGTGGCAAGCATGAAAAGCCAACAAAGGCATTTCCTAGACGAGGATGGTGAAGAAGAATGGCGCGCTTTGCTTTAAAACACCGCCACCCACCATGCGCAATAACTTCAGTCATGCTGTTTCTCTGGCCTCAAGGGTTACCTTCTTCTACCCCTCTGGCTTTTTAATGGACTCTAATAGGGGACTGAATGTCCAACGAGTTTTTAAACAATCATGCACTGCAGGCTTCATCCGTTTTCATCTGTTTTCTCTAAAGCCTGGCTCTCCTGTTCAAGCATCCTTTGGAATATGGGTAACGAAGTGGAACAAGAGGGGATGTTGTGGGGGGGGGAGGGTCCAAAGCAAATGCAGTATAAGAGAACCTTTCCATCCTCTTCTCAGGAAGACAGTTTTCAGGCCTTTAGGGCATTGCTGAGGTAAGCAATGCCCTAAAGACCTGAAGAAATGTTAGCCTGAGGTAGTCAATGCCCTAAAGACCTGAAGGGATGTTAGCCTGAGGTAGGCAATGCCCTAAAGTCCCTCCAGAGATGTTAGCCTGCCTCACTTATTCAAGTACAAGGGGTGTCCAGATTCCATCATATTCCATTGGATGTGGTTTCACACTATTGCTTCCATCATGGAATAAAAACGTATGTAAAGGAGAATATGGAATAGCTGCACAATGCCCTTTCACGAGTCATGCTAGAAATTCTCTATCTGAAAGCGCCCAAAGTTTGTGGAGACCTGCAACAAAGCGAAATCTCGTGGTGGCCATCCTTTGCCAGGAAAGCCCTCCTGGTGCAAACCCTCCAAGCTGCACCATAGGGCTGAGTCAAACTACCATTTAAATTTACACAGTGCTCAGAGTAATGCTGTGCTGCATCAGTATGAAAAATAAATATGGCAGCTACATGTAGTTGCACGGCGCTGCTTATACCACTGGACTGGCATTTTTTAAATGGGGTGAGGGAGAGCAGGCAGGCATCTAGATCATTGGAGACTTGGCAGCTATCCACAGATGCTGGGTTTTGCTGATAGCAGAAACAGTAGTTGATGGAATAAATTGATGACCTTAGGACTAGAAGTTCCAAAGCCAGATAAAATTCCTAGCTTCCTATTAAAAGTGGAAAATATGACTTCTGGCAGGCCACAGACAAATGTGAGATAGTCTGCTGCTGTATCCCTGAAATGTCAGATAGCCAGTGTGATGGACTGGATAATTATATGTATTTTTACAGAATAGATCTTATAATTAATTGATCAGGAGACTTTCTGGGTAACCTTGAGCAAATCATATTATGGAAAGAAGATGACATAATTATCCTTACAGAGTTGTTTAGTCACATTTAGTTTGTTTATTTGCAACATCTTGTTATGGCTGGTTTTCTTTCAAAAAATAGCATTCTGGCATTTTTTAAAAAGTCTTCAGAAAAATTAAGATAAGTTTTTCAGAACCTGCAAACATAAATTACATTTCCCAGATTGCTTTCAGTCTCTTATTATAAATATTTTTAAAAGACATTAGTCGCTCAGCAGTGGAATAGGAAATCAGATCACAGATGATAAAAATACATGACTGTTGGATGTCACAGACTCATCCTCAGACCAAAAAATTCTTTGATAGAGCCATGTAGAAATAAGTAGTATCTGGAGTAATCAGGGATCCATGATAGAGCAGTCTGCTTTGAACTAGTATCACTTCAATGCTAAACATTTGCCTTAGGAAATACATCTTATCAATTAGGGTAACAAGCCCAACATTCTAAAATAAAGTGTTATGATAAAATAATGCCATATTTTATTTCAAACTAAATAGTTTGCAATGCAGTTAGAAGATTAAGAAGCCAGGGTTAGTCCAAAAATACCTTTATAGTATTAACTACAGTATTAGCAATGAATTATAAAAGCTGAAGCCCTGTTGGTGTAACTTCACAGGTATAAATGGCAATGATGTCATCAGCTTGTAGTATCTAACTTAATGTAAAGCTTTTTGTCATTCCCACCTCTCCCGGTTCTGAGGCCTAGAGATCCCTCGAGGAATCCTTTCGGAGGTTCAGGATGGGGTGGGCGGAGCAAGTATTTAAATACTGTATTCGAAAATTTTCACCAGATGGCTGCTGCCTGGACGTGGAGATAGGGTTAGGGTTAGGTTTTTACACTAAACTAAGTTAAAGATTAATATTGTGGGCTGATGATGTCACTGCCATTTACACATACACAGTTATGCCCACAGGATTCCAGCCAAAACTGTATATTTAATCTATAGGCACTTCTAAAAGACACATACCAGAAAGTAAGTATTGTTGAATATAGTGGACTGTACATCCGATTTAAAACCATTAGTCTCATACTGTAAATTAACAGTACTGAGGTGACATTGAAATTGATTTGAAAAATTAATTATTAAATCAATACAGCTTAAACGGAGAACTCACTTAAGTTGGATAAAGTCCAGTGATTGAAATCCAGCCTATGACTTCAGGATGCTTGCCTGGACTTTAGATGCATATGTGACAGTACATAATCAGAAAATCCTGCTGTAGTACAAGATTATTTTATTGCATTATACAGTTTAGGCACAGTTCAGTGAATACAATTTCCTGACATTATTTAATTGCCATAAAAATCAGTTAATTAAAAGTTAAAATGAGGAAGGAGTAATGTTATTATTCCTGACCTCTTTTTGTGAATATTGCATGAATAAAAATACATTGCACAGAATGTAGCGTTATCTGGCTCCAAGATAGAAATGAATAGATCAGTCTAAAGTCTGTCCACAGCCAGCTTCACCTGCCCACGCATACATTGTCCCTGGGAGGGATAGGAGTAAATCATGTTTTGTCCCTCCCAGAAACAATTTCAGGTGTATTTTCAGTGTATATTGCAGGTGCTGTGCTGTTTTGAATGACTTTGTAACCTTCAGACTACTTTGCTGACTGGTAGGAATGTGGATTCTGAAGCAGACCCTGTCAGACATGAATTCAAGTGCTGTGGAACATGTTAATTTACAGAAGTCAGATCACCCAAATCCCTTTATCATCTTTACCAAACAATTAATTTGACTGAAACATTGGTAGGCTATGGCTGTGCCTGGCTCACAGTGCCATGTGTGTGTTCAATGTGTTATCAGCCCACACCAACCCAGTATTGTTGCAGTGCTCCAGGTGTTGTAACATTACTCTGCAGCTCTGGCCTATTCTCTGTCTCAAATTATTCCTGTAACTAATAATATGATTGCATTCCACCTTGGTTCCCATTTTGTGGCATAAGCAAGACATATGCCTCTACACTGCCTGTTTGATTTACTGCTGAGGGGAAGAAAATTTGATCTTCTCAAGTTGCTAAGACTAAGAGTATGTTTGTTGTGGAAATTACTCTGAGCCATTGCCACAAACATACAGTAGATGGAAAATATCTTTTTGAGGGGAAAATCTATTCTTAAATGTGAATATTTAAATAATGTTGCATGCTTTGTTGAAAAACCTCTATTGTTGGGCTTAGCATTGCCTTCTTAAAATTCCGAACATCACTTAGAGCTATAGCCCAAAGAACATTATGGAGAAATTTCTTTTGAAGTATTGGGCTCTTGTTTCAAATTATTAAGTTTGGCACATTTCTTTTAAAAGCTCTGTACATTTTTGTTTCCAGAATTTTAGTTGCTACAGTGATAAATGCAGATTAAGTATGAACATGCTGTCATTCCTTTTTTTTAAATATGGAAAATGAATGATAGAAATGTGAATGATGTTAGGTAAAATACATTCCTATTCTATTTTATTGATATAAAAATATGCATAAGATACTAAAGAAAACATAATTTTTATTTTTGTTTGAATTTGTTTAATAGGGTCCACCAAAGGCTTGTTTAGAAATTAACATGGCAAGTTTACAAGAATTTTTATCCGCATCAAGAGAAATGGGAGAACCATGGCCAAAGAAACGTAAAACGGATAGAAGTCTTTTGCAGTGGCAGTTACTGGAAAGACCATGCTTTGCAGATAAGAAATTCTCTCTCAATTTTCATGAAATATCGCGAGATTTTAGTCAAAACGTTTTAGAGTTACGAGAGAAAAGCAATACACACTTATCACCCAGTGTAAGACAATTTGTACCTTTTCAACCCTGCATGAATGCCAATTTGCAGTCCAGATTGCTAGGAAATATATCATTTGTTAAAAAATGGACTCTTGAAAATAAAGATTATAACAGCATAAAAAATGCTGTCTCTGAATTTAATGAAAATAATAACTCACTGTTCATAGAACCAGAATCTTGGGTCGTACCTGCCAAAGAAAAAGAAAAATCTGTAGATAGTGGCAATATTTCAAAAGAGAATGAGTTTCCAACTGTGAATACATTTTTAAATGATAACTTGGCAGGAGGTCTTATTGCAAGAATAGACTCTTTGTTTACAGATAGGCCAGAGTTTCAAAGCAGTGAAAACGGCATGTGTTCTTATGAAGCATATGAAATGTTAAACTCAGGGGAACAAGATACTCTTATAAAACCAGTTTCAGTTCGTAAAAACAGTATTAACCAATTCTTACACCTGTGTCCACCAGTTTGCAATTTTATGAAACAAAGAAAGTTAGACTTTAGATCTCTGTTGTATGAACATAATTTTTTTCTGGACGAAAAGAGTAATATTTTGTCATTTAAAAAAGAGACACTATCTCCTACAAATAATAAATTCAGAAGAAATAAAGTATTTAACCATATGTATATACCTTATTCAAGAAATAGTCAAGTTGTAGTTCCCAAATTAGTAAGATGTGTTGCTTTTGAGTCATTTTTACAAGATAAGGTAGTGTATAATTTTATTACTGCAACTGAAAAGACTGACAGCTTAATATTCAACCATTCTTCTTTACTTACTACCAGACGAAGGGTTATATCTGATGAAAATGTTACCAATGAATTTCTCTTTTTTTCCAAGGATAGTACAGCAGATTTTATCTTTTCAGTAACCACCAATGAAAAAGAACAATCAAGGAGACATCTTGTACCTTCTTATAATGAAATTTTACCAAATAACAGATCTGATTTTTCTGCTTTAAGGAAGGAGAGCTTGTATTATCTTAAGCCTAGTCTGACAACAAATTTTAGAATACTGAATACTTTGAACTCAGTTCCAGTCACATCTGAAAAGTTAAGTGTTAAATACCCAAATATGCAAATGGTTGTTACTATGAAAACATATATACAAGAGAAAAATAGAAAAACCTTCAAAGAAAATAATGTTTTAAGACTGGTCAAAAAGCCAGCAAATGGAAGATTCAGAAATATTAATTTTATAAGCAAGGGTGAATATGTCTCAAAATACACAGCAACATGTAGTAGACCAACAGTGAGGTGTGGCAATTGGGAAGATGGCCAAGAAAATTCCTATAGTTATGTGAATGAAAAACTCAATTTTTCTCCTTTTGACACATTCAAAAAAATCTGCCTCAATGCTGATTCAGAAGAAGTGGATCAAATTCTATTTATAGGCAAGGTAAAGTTTAGTGATGAAAGTGATGGAGAATGTAGCAAGGGATATGTAGCTGTTGATAAAAGAATCATTAGCAGGGACTCTTGTACACTGACTTGTAGTTATATTTCCACCAAGTTATTTACAAAATGCAGTTTTCTGTTAGAACAAGAAAGCAAAGACAAGTCTCTATATTCCAAAGATACAAATGCTAATAGCCAATGGCAGAAATATGAACTTAACAGTATGTCGTATACAAGCCTTAATTCACAAAACTTGCTTGCATGTTTCTCAGATACTGAACAGTATTCTCAAAAGTTGATAATCCCTTATGATGGTCACAAAGATCAAAGTAACAAGGCATGGCGTAGTAGGATTGCCGTGCACAAAGGAAGAAAACAAAATGGATTTGCATTTCAACAAATTCACCATGATTTGCAATATCAGTCTTTATATAATTCTAGCAGGTTGAAGCATCCTACAGTACAAAATGAGAACTTTTTATTTCTGAAAGATATTTTACTTAGTAGCAGGCACAATGTTGTAACATCTGTGATTCAAAATGCTGAAGATGCAGATAAGGTAGAAAATGTTCTTGAGAGGAATTATGCAGGCAAAAGAAAACAACACCAGAATTTAAGAGCACCGTCTTTCAAAGATCAATCTGCAACATCTGTTGGTTCCACAAACAAATTAATAGTGATTTCAAGCACAATGAAACAAAACCACTTTGAAGATGCAGCAAAGGAGCATTTTTCTTCAGCAGTTAAAAAAAAGTATGCATTTGAACTGAAAAGCCAGTTTGATTTAGTGCTGGAAGAGCTTCGTATGTTTAATGAAATTAGTAAAGAAAATGGAAATACTCTAGTTTACAGAGAAAGAGAGATTTATGAGAAAGATCCCTTTATTCTAAATCATGCTGAGAACATGGTAAATGAAGACTCCCAAGTTATTTACAAAAATAGAACAAAAGTGTGTGTTTCCGCTGTTGGTACTACTGTAAATACTAATATGGTGAAGCAGAATGAGTATGAACAGTGTTCGTTTAAGGACCTAGTGGTAAAAGAGCCCAAACAGCAAGAAATAGTTTACGAGGAATGCACTTCAAGTATGTCAGATGAAGAATTGTTTTATTCTCCCCCTGAAGGTAACTAAATGATTTTTAAATATATTGGGGAGAGGGGTGTCATTCTGCTGCAAGAAAAACATGGTATACATCCTGATGCCTTTGGTGAATCATGTGCCTGGTGAAATGGACTACAGTTCACTAAAGCTTGTGCCAAATAAATTTTGTTAGACTTTAAGGAGACCAAAAACAAACAAAATCCTGCCTTCTCTTAGTAATATGTTATAAAGTAGACTTCACCTTCTGTTGCACCAGCATGACATCAGGGAAGGTACATAGGGAAAGAATGTGCAGATCCTTTCTATTCCTGTTAATGCCTGTTACAAATAGTACTTGGAAAGTCACTGGTAGGGCCAACTCCAAGTATAAAGGAGCCCTATTCATGAAGAATACTGTACCATGGTATTTCCCCTTCGTTGTTAGTGGACGGTGGCAGGCTTACCTATAGTAGCAGCTTGGAGCAGTAGTATCACAGGGGCAGGGACTGCTGTTTTAATTGTTTGTTATGTTCTTGGCCAATACTGCCTTAGAAGTATTGTGGTAAATCACAATCACAGCTACACTCAGAGCACTCAAGTGGAGAAATAAAGGGATGGGAAACACTCTAGATCTCAGTGGTGGGTGCTCCCTGCCCTAGTGATGGGAAACTAGAAATACCAAAAGGGTGCCAACTGCTGTTATCATGACTGGTAACTGGTAAAAGAAGAAATCTGGCAACCTACATTATAGAATGTACAAAGTGCATTTACTGTGTTTTATGCCTACTGTGCTCACATTTAGAAGAAAATGCTAATCAGTGCTTTAATATTAAATACTATGCTCACGGTGACTTGTTTTTTATGTTGAAGAAGGTTGTTATCCTCAGAATAAACAACCACGTCCTTGGAACTCAGCATTTGTGTATCATACATCTATGAATGGAAAAATGTACAGCTTACAAATGGAAAGAGGTAAATTCTTCTGTTTCTAATAATTCAATATGGATAAGTATTTTCCTTTTCATAGTTTTTCTGTTCAGTTTATAGTAAATAAGAATGTTTCAGTTTTGTGTTAATCAGGAAACTTGGAGACTATCCTAACTACTTATGGTTTATTTTGACTTTCACAGAATCTTTGGACTAGTTTGACAGAAACCATGGTAAGAAAAATGCAGACACACAGAGAAAATTTCTAAACTACTGTTTCTTTTTGTACAGGGAACTGTTTATGTGATGGGATTACCAAAATACAGCCTCTTAAAACATGTCATGGTCCTTTAAGAGTTGGATTGTCAAGAAAAGCTAAGCCCAAACGGCTTCATCCATATTTGAAATAGTTCAGTATACAAATGTTTATAGAACATTATTTTAAACTTTTAGAGACATTCTATTTAAAAGTATTAACATAAACTTCTGTTTTTTAAGGTTTTGATCTGAACAGTTCTGTAAAATGACATACTGAAATATTCCTTATGAATGGTCACATTGTAATTTTGAGATAAATGTTTAATCATAAATATATCCTGTGAAGTATCTGTACATTAATATTTTAATACCTAATAAACGTCATACTTGCAAAATACACATATTCTTCCAAATTTTATTTCTCAAATTATATTACTAAAATATATTAGCATTTACTGATATGTCATACCGCATTTTATTGAACAGTGTTCTATATCTGATGGTGTTGGTAAATTGTAAATCTTGAATACTCTAATATGTTCATACGTTCTTTCTGAGACTTGAACCACAGTCTTAACAAGTCTTGAGCTGCAAATCTTCATCCTTATTCTAACACAAATTGCCATGAGTGGCTAAATGCCAGAGTCCACACAGTGAAGGCTTGGCTAAGCAAACTTTACTCCATTATGAAAGATATATGAACAAAATATTTTGTTCATTGCCAAGCTCTTTTGTAGAAATCTAAGTGATTGTTTTGATCCCGAATTTTCCTAGATACATACCTGTGTGAAATCCCATTATATGGGAACTACCCCTGCAGGTATTAAAATACTGCCTATGTATGAATTTATTGTGTTCAGGAACATGAAAACCATTTCATTTCCAAATTGACTTACCCTTGAAAGAAGAATAATTGTGTGCTGTCAAGTCTATTTTGACTTATAGTAACCCTTTCTAAGGTTTTCAAGGTAGAGAGTACTCAGAAGTGGCTTACCATTCCCTTCTTCTGGGAAATTTCAGTCTTAAAATTGCTCACTCTTCCATAAACCAAAACACAAAATAAAAGACTAACAATTTTTCCCCTACTGTTTATTTAAAAAAAAAATTCCTTATTGATGCAGCAATATTCTAGATAAACAAGATACATTGGCGGAATGATCTTCAGTCTAAATGAAACGATCATTCAAGTGTGAGATAAGACAGATTGCATAGAAGATAAGAACCCTTTAATGCCCAAACTGGACAGCTCCAAATTCCACTGCCTGGACAGGCCCTAAGAAAGTGGGCTCTTTGACTTCTGCCCTATAACAACAATTAGAACTCTCTTCAAAAGCAGACTGAGTATCAATATTAGACAAGAATTATATTAGGCAAAACTACAACAGCTATATTAAACAAATTAAGTAATTACAGGCTATTTTTAAATCAATGGGTCTCCTTTGGATCTGAATGGCTTTACCATAATGGTGTTTTCTGTAAATCAGAACAATGTGGCAACACTCTGAAACCAATGGTGTATGGAAAACTGGATGAACTCTTCATTCTCACTTATTTAAGTCACCTCAACATGACAGTATAAATCATATTCAATTCAATTTAATGAGACACCCTGACTGCGGATTTTTAGGTCCTGCGAGCTTTCTTGTTTTTAGACAAGAGTAACACAAGGGTTGAAATCCTGTTGCTTAACATGGCACAGGTAGGCCCTTTGAATCAGTAGGGATTTGGTAAGTCAAGTCCTCTGTGAGTTTCATTGATTCATTTGGCCCATTCTAGTTACAATTTACTATGTTAAGCAACAGGATTTCAGCCATTGAGTGCCATTTTTCTTTAAGATTTCCGTTAACTTTCCCTTTGAGAAGCAAAGCACACACAAAGCAAGAAAACAACAGTGGTTGATTGTTAAGAGACACATCCAATCTCCTCCTACTAATGAAAGTTAACAAAGGTTATTTTGCCCAATTTTGCTTACTTTGTGCAAGATTCCACAAAATACTTGTAGAAGAGGTAGCCATGTTAGTCTGTGCAAGCTTTTCAGACAAAACCCAAAGGAAAAACAATAATAATATAAAATTTTAAATTTAAAAAAATGGTCTTTAAGATGCTACTGGGTTTTTTCTTTTTTAATTTTTTTAATTTAAGTTTTTATTGTTGTTGTTGTTGTTGTTGTTGTTATTTTTATTTTATTTTATTTTATTTTATTTTATTTTATTTTATTTTATTTTATTTTATTTTATTATTATTAGGGTTTTGCCTGAGAAAAGACCTTGTCGTTATAATAATGTTGCAGTTCCTTGCTTGCCTGCAAGAATGAGACGAGCATGGATTTAAACCCCTACTCTTTTGCAGAAAATGTTTTGCCTCATCTTTAACTCCGAATTACAGAGACTGTCTGGGTACTCCAGTGTGGTGCAGACACTCTGCAGCGTTGTAGCAGTTGTGTTCTCTCACCTTTTCTTTGTCAAATAGCCTGGTGATTTTTACAGCCTACTCCATTGGTTTCTTCCCTAAAGAGATAGTAGGCCAGTCTAATCCTTGCTTTGGAGACTCTCAGGCTCAGCCCTCTTGAAAGGGACAGGGTACAGAAGCCTTGGCAAAACAAAGTTTGGAATTCCTTCTATATGTTGCTTTCATTTTACATGACTAGTATTTTTCATTTTTGGTTTCGGTGGAGCCAGTAAGTGTGTAAACTTATTATTTGGATTGACATATTGACTAAAATCCAACAGTTACTTTGGTGTCCAACTCCTGCTTAACTGTGACTTCCCTTCCGCTTCTGCTGTATCCCTCTGTGATGCCCCAAACCTGCTCAAGGTTCTGAAAAACCAAATTTCCGCAAGCCTGTGGAGGAGATGTTAAGAGTGTGGGAGGAGGTTCAGGAGGGGCAGAGATCACTGATTCTAGTGCAAGGAACAGCTACCAATAACCTGATTTTTTTCTGTTTTGTGGATTTCCTCTGTCTTAGACACTTTCATATAATGATTCAGAATCTGTACTGGTTCAGGAAAAAAATAAAGGCTTGTTTTTGTTAGCAAATCAGGTTCTGTTTTTATTCTAATTACACAGATAAATATATCTGAACAGCTTGCTCTAGCTTCAGATGAAAGAATGTGTTGGTACAGTAGTCATTGCTGAAAGCAATATTGTCAAAAATAATAAAAAGGAGTGATGACTATATAAAAATTCCTGAATGGAGGCTTGTTATATTTAATATTCATATATAACAAGAAGATGTGCCTCATACAAAGGTTTATATTCAGAATAAGTCAAAATACTGATGTCTTTGTGTATACCGCACAAACAAATTTAAACAATAAAGATTTAATGGGGTTGTTAAAAAATGTATGAATAATTGAATTCTGTGATTTTGATGATTATACCGAGAAGGGGCAGGATCTGTTCTCAATCGTCCCAGAGTGCAGGACACATAATACATAATTGGCTCAAGTTAAAGGAAGCCCTATTTCCGGTTGAATATCAGGAAAAATGTCCTAGCTGTTAGAGCAGTACAACAGTGGAACCAATTATCTCGGGTGGTGAGTACGCCAATGATGGAGTCATTCAAGAAAAAATTGGGCAGCCATCTTTTAGATATACTTGGATTTGGATAGACCCCTCCCAATTCCATTATTTTATGATTCTGTGATAATTAGCAGCAATACGTCTGAATTCATTTTCTATGAATGTTGGCAATTAATAGTTAAATTGCAATAAGTGCCTGATAGAAAGGCAGTCAGAGACCACGTGGGTGTACGCCACTCCGTGGCTCCCTGTCCCCCAAGGGCAAGGCCAAAGCTCTGCCCCCCCCCCCAAGCTGGGGCAGCTCTAGATACAAGTATCTTTGAATAGATTTAGGGGAGGGGAAGGCAACTTCCCAGGACCCCCAGTATGGGTCCTCAGCAGCCTTAGCACCACACATCCCACCAAATTAAAAATGTTTTGTCTGAAATAAGCAGGTGGTTATATAGGGGAAGAGTTCACTTGGCTGTCCCTTTTGGGGGACATGCCTTTATTTAGACCTTTTTCAAAATCAGAATCAACTTTATGGTCTTCACTCCATGTCATATGTAACATTGACTCTGGGAATGTACTATACATTAAACCAACCACTAACGTGTTTGAGATAATTGGGAGTGCATGACATATTGTTGTTGTGAGCCCTCAAGTTGTGACCCTTGGAAAGTGGGATATTTAAAGTTTGGCTTTACTGGTTTCACTACCCCAGTGAGTTTCCATAGCCAAGTGCGGATTTGAACCCTTGTTTCCAGAGCCCCAGTTCGGCACTCTATCCACTACACCACACTGGGTATTATTATGCTATCATATTATGGTATTACATAATAATGGTGCCATTACATAATAACTGTGTTGTAACAATGTGGGCATGTCTTCAGCCACCTAGCTCGTTTCATATCCTGCGTCTGTCCAAACCAAGAGTTAAATGGCCAGTTTTTTTTCTTTGTGCCAATATTCAAGCATGGAGTCTCTCAGTGTGCTTCTGCTGGGACCTGTATTCTTTGTCTAACTGTGGGGATAATAATTATTTGGAGCACTTTCGAGAAACATGGCCTACAAAAAGCCAATCTAATAAGCTTGATTTTGATGACTGCTGCAATATATTGTTCTAACTTGTTTGGATTGTTGTTACTATCCTATACTTCTATTATGACTTCTTAGTTTTGGGGGGAGAACACATCCTCAGCTCACAGTGAATACTATGTGACATGAAATGCATTATCTGCTGGTGGCAAAGCTATTAATTTGCATTTGCTGGAATTTTAGAAAGGTCATCCCAAAAGTATGCATGAGGACGGCTCATTGGCTTCATTTACAAGTTTATATCCCATTTTCACAAGGAGCGGGGAGAAGGAGGCTCCCTCCTCCAGCCAAAGCTAGAAACAAATCAAGAAAAACTAGGAAAGTGACAAGCCCAGCAGTCAGACTGAAATAATAAATACAGTAAATAAAAATCAGTGTTGGCAAAGGACATAAAATATATAGACTACTTTTACTGTATCAAGGGAAACACGGACATTGAATGCAGTGCTGGAAAATGCTTGAATGTTACTGAGCAAAACGATTAATGTACTAAAGAAACTTTTTTTCAATAGCATGCACATGAATAAAAATCGTGAGAGTTATGGGCTTGGCTTTGCACAATTCCTTAATGTCAACATATAATCTTTGCATATATCACTGCACTAAAAAAGAGTTTCTTCTGAGTCACATTTTGGAGTAAACCGCTAGGCATTCACGTGTGGGAAAGTGTACTGATTGCCAGCTCTTTG